CCGAACAACTGATAACCTGCGGGAACTGAAGGGGAATTCTGTTTGTGGAGTGAGAAACTCTGCTCAAAACAGATCCAGATCCAACAAGAAGGCCCCCCATTCGGGATCTCCTTGAGCTTCATGAAGCGCGAAGCTCTCGCGACGGGAACCTTGTGGTCACTGGACCCTAGATCTGCTCAGGCAGCACGAAACTTCGCACTGAACAGATCCAAACCCTGCATCAAGGACCCCTAAGAGTGCTTTTGGCAATTCGCAAAGACAACGAACGACTGTTTGACACTTCTTGTAGGTGGTCGGGAGACAATCACATCGGGACTGAAGCTATTCTGCACCTGGGCGTCTGAGCCGGTGATGCAACGAGATTTTGTGAACTTCGATGCGGGCGGACTTATATTGTGGGCATATTGCACAGGAATCGCAGGGTGGACCTGTTCGAAGCTCGAGCTGCCCCAGCACCGAAACCGAAGTTGAAGTCCGCCGTTGTCAGAGACTCAGAGTACACTGACCGAGCTCGCAGCATGCACACGCCCCGCCGCTACAAGGGGGTTGTTGACCGGACAGACTAGTGGCTTCCGCTCAATATGCGTATTGCATTTTATTTTTATTTTTTTTATTTTTATTTAGTTATTAATTATTTAATTAATTTTAATTATTATTACTAGTATTATTTTATATATTTTATCTAAATAAATATATTATTTATTATTATTATTATTTATTATTATTATTTTTATTTTATTTTTTTATTTTTTTCATTCTTAATTTACTATCTTATTTTTTAATATGTAATTTTTGTTATTTAATTATTTTTCTTTATTATTAATTATTACTAATGATTAATTACTAATATTATTAATGATTAATTATTACTCTTATTAATAAAAAATGAGCTTGTGTGTGTGTGTGTGTGTGTGTGTGTGTGAGTGTGTGTATCCCTCCCTGAAACCCTCGTGATGGAGGTTCCGGAGAGGCAGGTCGTTTAATGTCAGACGTACCCGTAGTTCCTCAATCCGAACCAAGGCAGGTTTTTGACTTAGACAAACTGCGCATTTTAGTAAGATGAACTGTAATTGGTTTAGTATTAGGATGTGGGTTATTATTTTATTATTTTATTATTTTATTATTTTATTATTTTATGATTTGATTATTTTATTATTTTATTATTACGGTGTTCATAAAAACCTGGAATTATTTATGTCTTTATTTCTGTTAAGCTGTACTGATTTTACTGTGTATAATTATTTTGCAGTACTTGGAGCACTTTGATTCGGTCACAACGAAATGGTAGATACGCCATTGGATTTTGAAGTACTTTTTGTGCAATTCCTTGGAGTCTGCGCTGATGGAATCCGTTTCGTACTAGAGTCTGGATGGTCTGTTTTATTTCTTTAGCCGCATGCTCGGATTCCGATTCTATTGTCATGATTGTAATTATTTGAGGGATTAGCAGGTTGATGAACTGTTGTATCGGTCTATTGGATACAACTTGGAATACGCTGAAGTAAGGGTCTCGTTAGACACTCCTAAAAGTTCCAGTTTTTAGGATTGCGTGTTGGTTGCACTCAATCCTAAATCGGCCCTGGAATCGAAAATGTGAAAACGGCGTTAGGACTCATCCTAAAAGTTTTAGGATTCCCCAGGCAAATCGTCCTAAATTTTCCAGTAGCCCCGGAGCTACTGAAAAATTTAGGATTCCCGATTATTACGGAGTCGGTGCGTCGCGTGCATGGCACCGTCGCCACAGGGTTGCTGGTCCAGTAGCGGTCGGTCGGGTGGGCGGTCGGACATCGGAGTTTTGGAGCGGGCCGAGGCCGGCAACGGCCAGCGGTGGTATCCGTTGGCAGCCGGTGGCGAGCGGGGCGGTGGGGGTGGGGCTGGGGGGTCTAGCGACCGTCTGCGGGCTGCCGGCCGTAGTGGACCGTTGTCTCGACGTTGCTAGCGACGGTGGAGGACGACGTCGGTCTCTCCACGACCCACGGTGGCGCGGGCTCTGAGTGGTGGCGGCAACGGTCGTTTTTTGAATCGCATGTTGCCACCTTCGTTGTCTTCTCTGGCTGTTGTCGGCATATGAAGGTCCACCGGGCGCGACTCCCCCCGCATGTTACAGCAGTGTGGTGCAGTAGCAGTCGGGTGCACAGTTGGGGTTGGTGGTGAATTTGATGGCTGACGCGGGGAGGAGATTTCCTCTGCTCGTGCTTGCTGTCGTCGTCTTCCTACTTGTCGTCTTCCTCCACGTGTGTTTGTCGTGGCGCCCGTGGAAACAACATCGCAAGAGGAGGGCATTGAAGAAACGGTCGGTAGGAGAGCGTACAATGGCGGGCATGCAGGGATGCGCGGGTGTTGGTGCGGGTCAGGGCGGAATACGAGCTGCGACAGCGTAGCCTCCACGACGGTACGACCCATCCATGTACGCCCATTTGCAATCGTGGGAGACGCCGCTGCCCCCATCGGACGAGGAGCCCGAGACGGAAGAACTACCGACGTTGCCTCTTGCCAGCGGCTCGACACAGCTTTGGTCGCAGACGATACGAGCAGGCGGTTCGGGTTGCAACAAAGGCGGCGGGTACACGTCTTTGCTGCAGCAAGGCTTGGGAGACGACGACGACGGAGGACTTGATCTCAGGTTTGGCTTATGTTCTGGCAGGTCCAAGGAGGCGAGCCGTACGTTGATCATCGACACTGATCCTTCCCCACGTGGCGTGGGACAGGGTGGGAGTCAACGTACGGATCAAACCACCCTTCGTGCCCGTGCGTCTGTCGCTGCCAGTGCCGGGCCATCTGCAGTGCTCCGGCGTCAAGGTTCCACAGCACCGTCCGCCGATCGATCGACAAGTAACTGGCCTGCACGCAACGGAGCCGCAGCCGGGTCACCCCGCGTCGAGTGTGCACGTCCTTCGATGCCCGAACGCACAACACCGACCCAATCCGATGTGAGGGACGCGGGTGAATGCAGACCACCGGTGCGTCCAATACCCACTGTGGAGAACATCACACGAGGTGTGTCGAACATGCGGGCACACAGTGATCGCGACGACGACGGCGGTGTTGGCGGCGACAATGCTGACGAGCGATTGACGGAGGACGTGGACGCAGGGGACGACAACGAAGACATTCCTGTTCGGCCGTTGGGGAAGACGGGTGGGAGGGGGAGAGCACGCAGCAGGGGTGCTGTTCGAGGTCGATCCGTTGGCCGCGGCGGCGGAGGCTGTGTCAGCGACGATGCCGGGAAGCCTGTGACGTACGGGTCTCCGGAGGAACAACTGCAACTAGTGAGATGCAAGCGGGAGCAAGAGCCTGAGATGCACCTCGCCGGGCTGGGCCACAACTACGGGCGGATGCGGACGAAGGACTGGAAGTGGGACGACATTGCAAAGCGCATGGCGAGCGCGGGGAAACCGAAAGACGCGGACCACTGCATGAAGAAGTGGGACAATCTGTTCCAAAACTACAAGAAGATACAGCGGTTTCAGAACGCAAGCGGCCGTCCTGATTTCTTC